TTTTATTATTTTACTCAATTAATAAACACATTATTTTACCAATATAACTTACTTGCAATCCGTTGAATCACTGCCTGGCACAACTGTATAAATACTTTTGGCAAACCGTTTGAGTTAAAACTTGTAAACCGTTAAAAGAATTACTGCTCAATTAAAAAGAGTCAACCCTCTGACACCGCATCTAACAGTTGCAACCTGAAAAGATTGCACGTTAACAATATGTATAATCTTTGACTTTATTAACAAACTTATCATAACTCTTGAATATGTCATTAACTTGTGTTTGATAAATTTGAATAGAAGTCTGAACTTTAGACATAGTTTTGTGATACAAAAAAAAATTTACTATATAAACAGTATGGAAAAACTTTAACCTGAAATTTTTATTGCAACACAAAGACACGAATAAAGGTAAAAAAAATTTATTATAATGTAAATATAAATATATGCAGATCATATATTAATATAGAATTTTCTAAATTAAGTTACAGATCTAGATTAACCAGTCTGAATCCTGAAAGTCTAGGATAAGCAACTTGAACCCCCCGGTCTAGGTTAAGTTTTCTCATATTTTAATTTAAATGTTGTAAAAAAAACATATTTCTTTAACATGAACAATTATTTTAAAAAACAAAATCCATCTTCTTTTTCATTTTTAAATTTTTTATGTTTTAAATTATTATATGAGAACGAGAGAATGAATTGGAAATTGAAGAAAGAAGAGTTCGAGTTGTATTATCGAGATTTAAATATTTACCTTCGAGATCAAGTTGTTAATGAAGATTTAAGAGAAAAATAGAGTGAACTCATTGAATCTCAGATATGGTATCTCTTTTGGGATCCTAGTATAGCTTGCTTTGCTCATGGTCCTAAGGGATCCTAGTACAGCTTGCTTTGCTTGTGGTTTTAGGTATTTGGTTGTTAAATTTGATTGTAGTATTTCTTTTGGGATCCTAATATGGCTTGCTTTGCTCGTGATCTTGAGGGGATTCTAGTACAGCTTATTTTGCTTGTAGTTTCAGATATTTTGTTGTTGAATTTAATTGTAGTATCTCTTTTGGGATCTTAGTACAGCTTACTTTGCTCATAATTCTGAGAGGATCCTAGTATGATTTGCTTTGCTTGTGGTTCCTTAAAATTCTCTTTATGTAAGTTTCTTCTCTTAATAATCACCAGAAATAGAAAGACTCTCAAGAAGTTCAGACATTATGAAAGGGTATGATGAGCAATACCGGTAGAATAACCTTTTAATACTTCATGGATGATCTCAAAAAAAATTTGGAACATAATATGGAAATTGTCTTAGATGAAGGTTACTACATTTTTAGTATTTAAACAGTTTTATTTAGCATGGACAATGCTAACCTTATTCATTCTGTAATACTAGATTCTGCTATAACTATTACAACTCAGACGTCTAGATCCTCAAGAACTTCAAGATCTAAAGGACCCTCTAAATCAACTATTTTACAGAATAAACAAAAAGAAAAGAAGAACTAAATAATCAAATTCTACTTTAAGAACAAAAGATCGATATGAAACTTTAACTGTAAGTGCTTCTCAAGAGTTTATATGCTTACCCATTATCATTTATCCACTTTTTGTTATCTTTTTTTTTTAGAGTGAATCTACTTATGACATTATACGTAAAAAATGAAATCTATTGACCTTGCCAAATTCTCATTCAATAACCTATTACTTTTATTTATATTGGACCTGAATCAAATTGATCCTATTATTAATGATTTAATACCAAAATCTTTACTGGAAGAAGCAAGCCAATATGAAAATATTCGAAATTGGAAGGGTTTTATGACAGAATTGATAAAGTGAATTGATAGCTTATTAAATGGTCAGAAACCTCAAAATCTAAAAAGACAGCAAGAAGAGTACGAATACATCAAAATTATGTACTGATTCTTGTATGTATCAATTCGCTAAATTATTTTCACTTTTTATGTTATTGATCATATACAGTCACACCTCGATATAACGAAGTTGCTGATTCAGCCAATTAGGATTTCATTATAAAAATCTTCATTAACACTATAACGAATTATACAGTATGTATAACGAATAATTCATTATAATGTTAATGAATTATTTGTTATAGTAGATGATTACTAATTTTATTACACAAATATAATTTTACTATTTCCAGAAATATTTTCACGTTATTAATTGTTGAATGATAGTTTTATTAATTTACTTAAATTTTTTTTTAAAATAAAATAAAAATAAAATAAAAAATAAAATAAAATAAAATAAAA